TCCCCCCCCCCCCCCAAAAAAAAATGACCTTCACCATGTCAATCTGCTTCTCTTTACTAAACCTCAAGAAGAAAGCTGGACATACTAAAAGTAAGTAAAACACCAATGATTCTTAGCTAAGTTTCCAGCAACTGCATAATATAAGATTTAAATATGACAACTCAAGGTAAAATTCTCCAGTAAAAAAAAAAGAGGTGTCAGACATATCAAAAGCAAAGTAGACATTTAGAGTAAGGAAGATGACCCTGCATTTTCTGCCTGAATATCTATACACCACTTTCACAGCATGCGAAGGTACATGCCTCAGTCAAAGTAATGTACAAGACATACTAATAGAGCTATGCTCTAACCAAGAAACAAGTTTCTCAAAAAATTTGCAACAGGTAAAAAAAAAAGCCCTTCGAATTTAAACGATGAGAGAAAACACAAAAGTTAGCTCCCAGTACCGTTATACTATTCACAAAGCAGGCTAACCCCCTGAGTCTTGCCGAGGGCCCCCAGATCGACCTCAGCAATGGTTTTAGAGTGAATCAAAAGTTCTCCTATTTCTTCTAATTACGCGATCAAAGCAATGAGCCCATTGATTTATCCCCTTGAAATAAAAGTGATAGATGATGGGAAAAACACCTGAAAGAGACCTGGCTTGCAATAAAAGTTTTCACAAGCCAGCAGATGACAAGCGTATCTCTAAGGGAGTGCACAAATATTACCTCTCTCTGGCCCTCTTCAAACTTGGCAAAGGCAATCAGCATCTGCTCGCTTATGTTGTCTTCACCAAAAAATTCCACCGCTCGTTCATAAATGGATCGTGCACTGTTGATGTAGCCATTTTTCTCCTCAAACTTGGCGTACTTGATCCAGTTCTTGACCTCAGGATGGACTAGTACAAGTGATTAGGTCAAGGAAAAACAACATTTATTTGTTTATTTGGTGGAGTAAAGAGAAGCACATAAACACAATAGCAGTCATTTCAAGATAGTAAAAAGCAAAAGTAACAGATAGAAAAAATAGAGGAAGAGAAAAGAAATAAGGCCAGCCAGCTACACCCCAGAAACCACCTTCAAACCAAAATCCAAACTATAGTCAGGGTTCCTGCCATGAACTTCCCACCAAATTCAAGATTTCAAGGAGGTTTCAAGGAGAAATTTTTAAAATTCAAGGAGATTTGGTCAAGAAATTCATGACAAAAGCCTATTTTTGAAGGCCTACAATTGTCCGAAAAGAACCATATCATAGTTTCGATTTTCCTACAAAAACTGTTCCTAGGGTGACTGCCAACCCGGCTTCTCAATTTTCCGGGGGGGGGGGGGGCCTCATCCATTCTCCAGGGGCATGTTACATAACAATGACAGTGCATGCTCCATTTATATGTTATATATAATATATACACACACACGTGCACACGCACGCATGTAGGTACATTATATCCAGTCATCAACATGTCAGTGTGGCACTGGGATACTGTGACTTATGTATTTCAGTCAGTTTTTACTTATTTATATTTTCCCCTCATCATATTCCCCTATATAAACTATATAAAAATGAATCTTGCTTTGAGCCTCAGAAAACCATCGCCGATACTCACGATGTGACGAAAACGCACAGGTTCAATGGCCGGTCACGATGGCAAGCCCGACAAGAAGCTTGTATAACTTTCTTTTTCTTCCTTTTTTTTTTTTCACAAGTGACAGCACAGGACAAACGATTTATTTTCACGGCGACACAGCATTTGTAATGCAGAACCTGCATGTTACAAATGTAGCGCTATCAGACTACTATAGGCCCTACCGGCAAATTTCAAGGTGGTAACGAAAGCGAAAGTAGATCTTGATTTTCCCGATCGAGCTTCGGTATCGCACATACACTTCCACTTGTGGCCGCCATAACTGCCTGTGCGCGTGTAACGTACTCTCAGGCCGGGAAGGGCCGAATGAATATTATATCACAATCGCGACCGGCAAAAATGAACTCAAGGACGTTATCGGATTTGGTTTTCAAATATTCGAGAACGTTTATGTATTTTCCCGGGTCTTTCACGGAGCAATTTACAGATTTCTTCAAATTCCCGTTGCATTTCGGGTCTCTGCGGTTTTTTTTTAATTCCTGGGTAATTCCAGGGCCCCCCCGGGATTCCCGGGGCCTGGCAGTCACCCTGTACACGTGTTCCTGCCCCATATGGCAAAATTCAAGGAGTTTTCAAGGAGATTTTTCCTTGAATGCAAATTCAAGGAGTTTTCAAGGACATTTTTCCTTGAATGCAAATTCAAGCAGTTTTCAAGGACTCCTTGAATTCAAGGAGGCCTCGGGAACCCTGTATAGTGTCCTATGACAGCCAAACAAATTATATCAACAAACAAGAAACATAAAGATACTTAACTAGCAACAAATGGAAAAAAAACAGAATTCCAAATACATTCTTCCATCACTTAAAATCTGAAAAGAATTTTATATGTCATTTGTGCCGTCTTTCAGTTCCCATTGACAGTGTAACTGTAATTTTGCACACGGTACACAGCATTCTTTTTTCAAATAAAAATTATTTGAAAGATTTGAGGTTTCACTGGAGCTTATCAATACAATTAACCAATTAGCAATCCAAATATTACGTGTGAATTATTAATTCTCAGACCTACAAAAGCAACCAATCAAAAGGATATATTTTTCGTAAATAGTCCTTGCTCTGTCCAGCTCTTTGTAGCGCAACTCAAAGTTGATGTATGAATGCCACGCTTGTTCTTCAGGCTCCCACTCCATCCAGCGCTCAAAAACCTGGCGGCCTCCTGTATCGTGAAAGTAAAAAGAAAACATTAGTACACTTCATCCGCTCTGACATCCTCTTGAAGACCTCAAAATTAGTTGACTATAGTTTCAACAAGTTCAACCCGCAGCAAAACTAATGATTACACTCCTGGATTATTCTTTTACTTCCATCCTGTGTAACATCCCTCTCCTTTCAAGCAACATCTACAGCAATCGAAACTACCCATAATGTATACAGGCCAATTACTTCTATTCTGTGTAGATGTTGTTAATTTAGAATTTTACCAAAGTGGCCAGAACAGACTAACCTGCACTTCTACACTTCTATGTGTAAATTGTTGGAATTTTTGGGTCTGAACTTCTGTCAAGGGGTGTCATTGAAATAAATAATGATGCCAGAATCCACCCATCCTTACAGTTTCTCCAACATGTGCAAGGTGCGTGTATGACCTCCTGATCTTTTACTTTATCCAAAATGACTTTTGATATTCCATTGCATTTCCATAACTTTTCAAAACCAAAAATCAGACTCTACATACCTGGCTGGTCAAGATGGTGGGCACCGGACAAGGACAAGTAGCCCCCCTCTAAACCCTCCACACACACTTTTTTGCATGCAATAAATTCAAACTATTCCAACTGTCCTGCTACAATAATATTAGAAACATTTTGAAAACCAGAGACAAAAATGGTTTGAATAGACAGCTTACCCGCAATGTTTCCTAACATTTCTTCCATGTAGGTGTACTTGTACCAAAACTGGTTGGCTCTGGGCAAGACCATGACAGCTCTGTCCCAAATGTTTCGAGCATGATTAATTTGACGACACCTGCAACACAACAACAGCGGATTACATTTACTTGTGGCATAGCTACAAATCAGCTGGACAGCTTGCATTTGGTGCTGCATGAAATTCTTCATTCAAATCTACAAGTCCCTACCCAGTAGAGTGCATTCAATCAGTCAAGATAAAGAATTACATTTACGTCATACGAGTCCTTTAGAGCGAGACAGCGAGACGGGGGGGGGGGGGGGGGGGGGGGGGGGGGGGGGGGGGGGGGGGGGGGGGGGGGGGGGGGGGGGGTTGGGGGAGAGGAGAGAGGGAGGAGGGAGGGAGAGATAGTGATAGACAGAGAGATAGAATGAGAAAGATCATAAGTACATGTGTCACCTATGTATTATTTTATTTTTATTGCCAGGGAAGCAACTGAGATTAGGTGAAAATGGGTATAACAATAAAGAATAAATGCAGAAATGATAATGGTTTTGAAAATGGATTTCAGCAACAACAACAAAATAATAACTGGGAGGAAACAGAAGTAACGGGGGCGGGGGGGGGGAATAAATAGCATACCAAATATTGCAGGCGTACCCATCTTTAATTATCGACATCTGAAAAATTAACCAGAGAGAATAAAAGATTTCTTACCTCACCTAATAATATCACACATTGCACATCATAGCGATTTGTGCATAAACCTTTCACCCATTTTGTGTATGCACCAGGTACACTTCAAGTAACAAATTGCGACCTCAGTGCTTTCATGTCGCACCTTTTTTTTTTTTTACATTGAAAATGTGACTTCTTCTGAAGCGCACTCTTTGACATGATGAACCATTCTCACTGTTTAAAAAAAATGGAGATACGACAAGAAAGCACTGAGGTCGCGAAATGAAACAAATGTCTCAAACAATTCAATATAGGAAGTTTGGAACGAAAAGAAAAGATTCAGTTCGGTTTTACAAAATTTTCAAACTAAAAACAAACCTCATTTCCATCTCTGCATACTTGAGCCACACAGTGATATTTCGATGGTCGACATCTAATGCTCTCTCCCAAATAGAACGAGCCCTGCAGCAAAAACAATGTACATCTTCATTACAATGTACTAGTCATCAATGCACATGAAAAACTAAAGACTACATTGAAATAAGTAAAGAATTGGGAAAGATGACAAAAAATATATCAAGTACTCAAGACCCATCGGCTTCCAAACAGATGTACCACCAACAGATAGCACAATAATCTTTGACATTTATTTTTTTATGAGAACATTTTGTTAACCAAAAGGATAAAGAGAGAGAGAGAGGGGGGGAGAGAGAGAGAGAGAGAGAGAGAGAGGGGGGGGGGAGAGAGAGAGAGAGGGGGGGAGAGAGAGAGAGGGGGGGAGAGAGAGAGAGAGAGAGAGAGAGAGAGAGAGAGAGAGAGAGAGAGAGAGAGAGAGGGGGGGAGAGAGAGAGAGAGAGAGAGAGAGAGAGAGAGATAGAGAGAGAGAGAGAGAGAGAGAGAGAGAGAGAGAGAGAGAGAGAGAGAGAGAGAGAGAGAGAGAGAGAGAGAGAGAGAGAGAGAGAGAGAGAGAGAGAGAGAGAGAGAGAGAGAGAGAGAATGTGTGTGTTTGAAAGTCTGGGAGACGGGGATTAAAAAACAAACACAAACCAAAGACGAACTTAGTACCTCTGAAGTTCCTTTTGACTCTCTTCCCATTGTGCATATTTGATCCAATTTGTCATCACAGAACGGTTTTTCCGAATATTGTCTTCAAACATCTGTTGAACAAATGACTCAAATTAAAGGTCCACAGTATGATATTGATAATCCACAAACAGTTCCACCGAATTTGTACTGATGGGCAGCCCAGCATAATCACAACTAATGGATGATTCTATCATGAAAAGAAAATGCTGACAAAGCCAGGAACTATTGACTTGTGTATTCCTCAAGCATACATTACATCCAGCAAGTTTTGATGGTTATGAGTCAATGTGGTTTACAAAACTTACACTATAAACTGTCCTTACTTATCATAATGCAATTTGTAAAAAATCTTACACTGAGAATATATATGAGATATACTTTGGGAACAAATCAAAACGCCAACCTTTCTTTTCCTCATTCGGTAGTCCGCCAATTCATCAGGATCTGAGATCTTCTGCTTGGGAGGCTATAAAAGAAAAATGTTTTAGTTTTTAAAATACAGTCTAAAACATATTTAAAGTATAAATTTGCAGCTCATGTTTTAAATTTAAAGAAAAATCCAACCTACACACAAGTGACACATTGAAATCTCATTATCCAAGGCCAAAACATATTTTGATCAATATTCATGAACTAAAATGCTATTTCAACTTATCAAAACTCTATCCCATATGAACCTTAACTAAACCTTACAGTTCCATACCAGGGTATTCATTTCACACAGTCACTATTACCATCAAATCTTTTCAATGGAATCATATCACACAAAAAAAAGACAATAAAAAAGTTGTTAAAATTAACTAAAATGTCCACTTACCGGAGGTACCAGCTCCAACTCACGTTCTTTTGCTTCACGTAGCAGCTGCTCCGCGGTGATCTGCACCGGGGCTGCCATCTTGTTCTTGACCTGGAGGTTCAGAAAACAAGATATACACCAACTCTTTACAAGACATATACAAATGAAACAATTTTAATCATGTCTATCTTTTAGAACAACTAGGAACCTTTTTATAAATTAACACAGAACCTAAAGAAAGGAAAATATTGAAGAGACATCATTCATAATTTCTTTAAACAACTCACAGAGTAAATTCAGACAAAAATTATCAACGATTTACTGACAAAATCACAAGCCAATTATTTTGTTTCTTAAAAATTTGAGCAGCTAAATAACTGTTCATAAAAAGTAAAGAGACAAGCTTAAAGAATGCAATCATGTTACTGTACCTGGACTCTTACTGCTTCCATTTCAAGGCACTCTTCGGACAATACCTTTTTAAAGCTCCTTTGGCCTCTAAATAAAACGGCCAACCTGATGGATTTGTACAGCCTTTCACTATTGTGATGTGTTGTCAATGATAATGTCCAATGTGTACCCTTTCTTGTACATAACAATGATGACAGGTTCTGTGCACTGCGTCATTGTTACAATGCTTGTCATTTATATTTGAAGTGACTATTCAGACTCGAGTCCGATTTGACAAAAATTACATTCGGACTCTGAATAGAGTCCAGCATGACGTCCGTTCCTACTTCCGACATGTGTTCTTAAATATTTCCAGCACTTATGAATTGTTTTTCCGATAAATGATAACAATCGAGACGTGAACTTTAAGCTTTAATATCCAGTTACTAGATCAATATAAACTGGCCCTCCATGCATCATTAGTGTGAACAGAACAAACAAATTGAGTTGACTTTGCCGTGGCTAAAGTTAATTATGTCGACCAATGAGATTGTGCGTAGCGATCACGCACTCTCTGCTTGCTGGGGGAAGAGGTGTTAGGAAGAGGCCCCGGCTGTCAATTTTGTGCGACGTGATTTTTTAAAAAAATTAATAACAGAAAAACTAAAACACTGCACAAAATGAAATTAAACATGTGGAAAGACATATGGTGGGGAGAGTAATGATGATGCTGTAGTGGTGGTGGAAAGACCCTGAGTTGTCGGTTATCGCATACTTAGACACTGCCATTGGCTATGAGAGTGCAGTCTTTTGACTTTTGGCACAATTACACAGTCCCAGTAGATTATTCTAGTTCTAATTCTGGTTTTTCGTAAAATCCCCCGATGACAGTTACATTATGTAACCTCCTTACACTCACATACCTCACTTAGAAGCAAATTCCGGATATAAATAAAACATTTTTTTGAGACCCGAGTCCGAATAGATAAAAAATCTATTCGGTAGAGCTGGCCTTTATATTACCATTATGACTGGAGTTCATAGTGTATTAAGTCTTTATTTACAAAACAAAAGGAATTTTAAGTCTGTAATTTGCCTTGCTGCTTCTCTGTTTTTGTCATCACTGTTACATATGAGAAATACAGTGGTTGCCCAACCAATAGACCCATATCTCGAAACGCAGTGGCTACGTTCACAGTGCCCTGAATGCAGTTTGCAGACGCTGTTGAGGCTACGTTCACGGCATTCAAGCTTGCATTTAGACGGAGCGTCCACTACGGGTTTCAGTCAGTGACAACAGTGACGTATATTTGATTTTTGGCCTGCTTCAAGCGTTCTATCCCATGAGATGAAGGAATACGAAGCAGTGATCCTTGACCAATCGACCATTCGTCGTTTTCCCTCACACTGAGATCTGGCTCAGAGCTCGCCAGTGTAAGAGAAAATGACGAACTCTCAATTACGCAACAATGCATTAGGATATATATATGACAAAAATGTATACGCCTACCAAGATGTTTAAATTGCCCTATCTCAAGTCCGAGCGAGACTTGGGCGTGACCTTGTGTTAGTGCATGACGGCCTGTGATACACAAGTGTAAACAAACGTTCCAGCGCTCTCGAGTTGAAAGCGTGCAATTTTGTCTGCGGGCAGTGTGAGTGTATGTGTGCGTGTGAGAGAGAGAGAGGGGGGGGGGGAGAGAGACAGAGAGAGAGAGGGGAGGGGGAGAGAGAGGGGGGGGAGAGAGAGAGAGAGAGAGAGAGAGAGAGACAGAGACAAGGTGGGAAGAGAGAAGGAAAGACAAAGGGGAGAAAGAGAGAGACAGACAGAAAGAAAGAGAGAGAGAGAGTGGGTGTTCAAGAGCGTAATCAAGAATAATTGATTCCCATCATTTTCTCTCTGTGTCGGTTCCCAGGCTGACCCGGTGCAATACAGTCATTATCGACCAGTCCCATCTTTCGAATCCCACCTTCTGTTTTCCATCTCTCACCTCTTGTTTCCCATGTACCATATCCAATTTTCCATGTCCCATATCCCGACTTTAATTCTGTAAGGGCGCTTCGTTTTCCTTCATCTGATAGGATGGAACACTTGAAGCTGGCCAAAATATTATACGTCACTGACTAAAACCAGCTGACTTAAACCGGCAGAGGACGTTCCCCCTAAACGAAGCTTTAGTGCCGTGAATGTAGCCTGCCAACTATCTTTGCGGTGCCGTGAACCACTGCAATCTCCAAATCCCTACATCTCCTTGCTCCGATACTTCAGGAATACGACCACTAAATGTCAATCTGTGACTGACAGAAATATGACCTGATATCTGTTTCAAAGCAAAAGAACCTCTCCTGTTTTTTCTTTTAAATTCTTAAAGTGTGCATTTCTCTCTGGGGGCATGACTTTGTCTTTTCCTGTACATTGTGTCATCATTGAACTATGTACAAGTCATGTTTGTCATCACTGTTATGCACAGGTCAGCCCCATTGATGTTGTGCTTTTGCCTCATATTAGTTTATATTAAAATTGTTTTACACATGTGTTTTTCTGGTGCTGAGGCTTTGATAACTGTATTTGTACAGTCTTTCACTATAGTCTATTGTGATGTGTTGTCAATGACAATGTCCAATGTGTATCCTTTCTTGTACATAACAATGATGACATGTTCTGTGCACTGCGTCATTGTTACAATGCTTGTCATTCATATTACCATTATGAATGGAGTTCATAGTGTACAAAGTCTTTGTTTACTAAACAAATGGAATTTATAAAGTCTATAATTTGCCTTGCTGCTTATCTGTTTTTGTCATCACTGTTACATACATACAAGAAATACAGTGGTTGCCGAACCAATAGACCCATATCTCCAAAACCCTACATCTCCTTGCTCTGATACTCTAGGAATATGAGCACTAAATGTCAATCTGTGACTGACAGAAAAGGGAGTCAAATTGGTACGAAAAAAAATTTAGAACCACTGAGTCTCAAGAGTCTCAGTCTCACGTTTTGGCAGTTGCTCATATGTATTTATGTATGTGTATTTGTGTGTGTGTGAGTGCGCGTGTGTGTGTGATGTGTGTGCGTGCATCAAGTGCATGTGTGTGTTTTTTTTCTTTTTTCTTTTAACTTTTTAAATTCTTATTTTTTTGTTAGACTCACTCTGTCGCAATTAATGTTGCATTAATTGTCACAGAGTCACTCTATCGCAATTAACACCTCGTTAGTTGCCACAGCGTCACTCAGACTCAGTCGCAATTAACGCTACCAAAATTTAAAGTTTAAATAAGAAGTTAAAATTAAAAGTCAAAGTCAAAGTGAAAAGTCGAAAGTGAAAAGTGAAAAGGCGGGGGGACACACCTTCGCCACGCGAGGCATTTTGATCTTTGCACCATCGCCATCGCCTGAGGCATCCATTTTGAAGACAGAAGAATCTTTCTTCTGCAACACTGAAGGGAACAAGACAGGCTCGCTCGCTTCTTGTTAATCTGCGATGAGTGGAGTGGCAACTACTGTACTACTGCTGTACACCAGACCGACCGTCCGTAAACACAACGATGAGATTTTTCTCAAACCGGAAGTTGAATTTTGAAAGCCAGCCAGAGTTATCCATCCGTGTTTTGTTTTTTTTCATCTGTAAAAAAAGGACCAATGTGCTAAAATCATACGGAACAAAGATATTGTTCTTTATTTTTTTTTATCTTAAATATAAAATAAAGTCTATTATTATCGGCCTGCTCTTGCGACATTTCAACAATTGGATTTTAAGTACAATAAACAAATTTAGAAGATGTAATACAAGTAAGGTATTTTTTTTTACAATATTTGCCTACCAATCACAATAACAACTTGACCTGGAAAAAATGACATACTGGATCTAAATCTCATAGAAACGTTTAGGCTTACTATATCATGTACCTGTATTTATTAGTCCTTTTACCAAGTTGAAAAGTAATACAACTGAAAATGTTAAGTTGCCTTTGAAGAGGCGTCCTAAATAAAAAGCTGGTCTTCTTCTTCTTCTTCTTCTTCTTCTTCTTCTTCTTCTTCTTCTTCTTCTTCTTCTTCTTCTTCTTCTTCTTCTTCTTCTTCTTCTTCTTCTTCTTCTTCTTCTATTCCCAGCTCCTCCTCCTCCTCCTCCTCCTCCTCCTCCTCCTCCTCCTCCTCCTCCTCCTATGCGGCCTATGTCAGTGTATCTGTGAATTTTGATCTTCTTCTTTTTCTTTTCATTCAGCTTCTTCTTCGGTATGGCTTGTGAACTTGGGCAAAAGTAGGCCTATTTCTGGGTCAGTCGGGTCGATGAATCACGTTATGGGCGCGCAAGTGTACGTTTGAGTGTGTTTGTGTATGAGTGTGTGTTTGTTTGTGTGTGTGTGTTTGTTTGTTTGTTTGTTGGTTTGTTTGTTTAATGTTTAATGTTTGTTTTCTTGTTTATTGTGTGAACTGTACCGCCAAGCCCATGCCATGCCCACTCATTTGGATCCTAAAATATGAAATCGAGGTTATTTGTGCACTTGGGTCTTCTTCTTCTTCTTCTTCTTCTTCTTCTTCTTCTTCTTCTTCTTCTTCTTCTTTTTCTTCTTCTTCTTCTTCTTCTTCACTGTCTTTAGCTTAATGTGTGTCTATTTTTTTGGCTCAGTCAGATTTAAAAATCAAGATGTATAATGCTCACGTGAGTGTGAGTGTGTATTTGTCTGTTTGTTTGTGTGTGCACGTGTCTGCGCGCACGTGTGTGCGTGTGTATGCGTATGTCTGCGTGTGATGTGTGTGTATGTGTGTGTGTATGTGTGTGTGTGTGTGTGTGTGTGTGTGTGTGTGTGTGTGTGTGTGTGTGTGTGTGTGTGTGTGTGTAAATTGGTGTAGTGTTTGTTTGTTGAAAAGGGGATTATGTCCTGCTTTGCAATTTCTGGACAGCGAAAGAAATCGTTATACAGCTGTTATCGAAAAACTTAAAAACAACAGCTATAAATTTCAGTAATACTTTTCTATCCCACAATCATTCTGGAGGGAGGGCCAGTAGATCTAGCCTAGGGACTTTGCCCAGTCTGATGAATCTCAAAATTAAGTGTCTTGCAGAAAAGTTCAACTGATGGAACGTTATCACAGAAAAGAATATTTAAAGAGGCCTTTTAATAATAATAATAATAATAATAATAATAATAATAATAATAATAATAATAATAAATAATAAATGACATTTATATAGCGCACAACCCCGAATAAAGTACACAGGCTCTGAGCGCTTTACAATACAGTACAACATACAACAGTAACATGAAACGTTGTGTTCTGACTAAAGAAAATTATTCCAAATATTCATCTTATTAATTTAAAAACAGAAACGACTTCAGCTGACATTTGAATGAATCAAAAGATTTGATTTCTCTCAACGTACTTGGTAAAGCATTCCAGATCTTGGGGCCTTGGTATTCAAATGCCCTTTCACCCATTGTTTTAAGTTTCATAGATTTTAAAATAAATTTCTTTTTGTCAGCTGATGATCTTAAACTGCGAGTTGGAATGTACAACTTTTAAGGAGGTTCAGACACAGATGGGTTATATTCTCCTCGAAAATAAAGACAAACTAAGCCTGGAACAGCGATGCTCGACTCAATTCATCAATTTTGATATCTGGAATCTGGAGCGCCTCAGCTTGCGCTTAAAATGGAGAACACGACTTCGGCACCGACGGTTAGCTTGCTGAACAGGTTTAAAGACTGTCACAACTTGAAGTTCAAAGAGGAGCACGGGGAACAGCAAGCGCTGGATACAGGTGCTTAATTGAAAACTGCCGGAACTGCTCTTATGCTATGAGAAGATCAATATTATTTATAATGCTGACGTAAAGGGGCTCGATTTCAATAGTCCTTGTTTTTTGCATCGTGGTGTTGCAAGAGTCAAGTGAAAATAAGTTAAGCGGAGGGGACAAGACCAATTGGAACGGATGAGTGACAGTTCTTTTGTTAATGTCTTAATTGTTAATACTTCACCTCAAAAAGAAATTAATATTATACTAGGTAGACCTAGGCGTAATCTAGCATCTGCGTTTGTTGCCATTTTTTTCGTCCAAAAGTTGCCACAAAAATGGCAAAAGTTGCCCCCCCCCCAAAAAAAAAAATGCCATTAATTTTCAAGCTATCAACTCTCTGTGACGACGTATTTGCAATATGTTGAAAGAGGTAACTTCATCTAAAGCACTATAATTTCTTGTGTTCCGTTTTATGCAACCAGAATATCATTTGTAGCCACACAGGATGTAAAACGTGAAAAATAAAGGCTTCAAAATAGAATTAAATCAAAATTAGAACAGCACATAACAACTACAAAAATTAAAAAAATGAAGACCTATCCGAAGATTGGCCGTTTTAACCCTAAACGTGTGTAATTCAAGAAAAAGTACATGTAAATTATGGAATCACACACAAAGGGCCTGCCAGTGTCAAGCATAACACATTTTTTAAAAGGTGGGAACAACATCAAATTAAATAACATACGCTATATAAACATAAAAAACGGGGGCTCTCGTGGCTAGAGGTTTAACCGCAAAACTCCTCATTCAAAGGTCCCGGGTTCGAATCCGGGTAGCGACCGAAAACATTTTCTTCTCTAGAATTGTCTCCTTTCACCTCCTTTCCTGCTCTC